CCCCCCCACACACACACTTTAAATCATTGTTTCCTGATCAGAAGTCATAACCGGAATGCCATTTCTGTCCGGTCGCTACCATGTCCTTCAATTTGTCCAAGCAACAAAGGCCTGGATACATGTGCGGTAGCTCACTGATCATTACTCACCTCGATCGATCTAATGAGCAGCACGGTCCTAAACATCCGATGTGACAAATGATTCAGTATGAAATTTCTTTTTACTTTGTGTTTATTGGAAACTTACGGATAAATACTGCCAGGGCGTATAAGCACTATGCTGGAGAACGCTTAGAGTTCTCAACCAAAGTCTTTAGTTCTGACACCTAATCACAAGACGAATGGGGTCCCATGTATTTGAAACTAATACTCAACCATCATGTCTACAGATTGAAATACGAAATCCGGTTACCCCCTTCCAACATGGACTCCAAGAGACTGAAGTTTGCCTGACCTCTCATCCTCTGGCCTCCCAGACATGATTATACCTTTGACTTGACAAAACCCATCCTGTGTACCTCGTCGGATAGCAGAGGTGCACTGGACACCACACCAAGTCGTAATACAGCATCTTCATAGTGCACATGCAGTTTGTATAACATATTGCGGTTCACAAGAAGGCAATACATCCGATCTCCTTGACGCATTATGACAAACCTTGCCACATTAGTTGCCTTATATCTGTTACACTACTCGCAGCATTGGTGATTGTTTTCTGCTTGAATTCGTTTTTTCGGTTTCGCTCATCGTCCATCTCTTTCTTCTATACTGATCACGTGACACACAGAACCCCAATTTCCCGGATTGGCCTGCGCCAGTGCATTTTCTTGTCGGTTGTGCTCTGTACAATTTGATTTACGATCGCGTCCGATTCAATCGAAACGAGCCTGTTCGAATTCGTCATACCGCATCAATTATTGCTTCGAAGGCAGTACAATCCGGACAAGGAGCCCAATCTGACGTGACTCCTTTGCGAACGGAGGAAGCCCCTGTCCTATTCGAAGTGTGCGCTGAGTACCCAGAGGAACTACGCAATGAGATCAAGGTTGGTTGGATTTGTTCCGCGCACATTGTGTTTGTCGTCGTTTTTGGTGCTTGTGGTGGTTGTTGTGTTGCTGTTGGTGGTGATGGTAATGACGATTGTACAATATCGACTTATTCCCTGTTGTTCGATCTACAGAACGCTGATTACAAACCATTTTACTGTTCTCTTTCCGCGTAGATTCACCCCACTCTCTTTAACTGGTATCGTGATGCAAACTATCCACCGTTGAGCTTTCATCCTGCTGAACTACCGATGCTTTGTCCCCCCATACCCTGGGTCAGTACGAGAGATGCCGGTTACCTAATGTCTCGCAGTAAGTTTTGTTTTTACGCCGCTGTTTGAGCATCATCATATAATGCTGACTGTATCGACACTGTCATCGTTTCCTCGTTATCACGTTCTTATTCTTTAATACCAGTGTGTCAGTTTCAAGTTTGGTGGTTGTTCCAAATATCTGCTGTCTGATGGAAGCATGCCCGAGAAAACCAGTCACGTAACATCCTAAGTAAAATACCCAGACTGACAACGTTTTATTCAACTGGGTCCGAAGCGATTGCGTAACGGTAAAATGGAGCGAAATGTTATCGCTCATCGTTCCGCCAATGACTGCAGTCTAAAATTGAAAGTGAGATTTGAAAATTTCCCGATCCCATTGTTGGTCAATACCCTTCAAACTACGATCGGTTTTACGATTATCGTTCGCTTCTTTGTGTACAGATTATGCAACGCGACTAATTCGGCATCCACACGGTTCTTCCACCGACATTCCTATTCTGAATGACGATCTGGATTTCGATTCAAAACGAATTCCGGCGATTTTCGACGCACTGAACTGCCTTGCCTCTTGTCCTTGGCGTGTGAATGAAGCGGTACGTTAGAATTTGGTTTTGTGTTACTATTTCATCTTTTACGTGCTGTCGCCCATCTTTTTCTCTGTCTATCGATTAAATTGCCACAGATCTCAATCTAATGTTAGTAACAATTCAGATGTCTTTCTAGGGAACCTCACCACAATCTCCTGTACTTCTCAAATGTTAGTCATCGAATACCCTTAGTACCATTCAATCGGCTCATTTATCATCCTGTCATACTCCCAATCTATGCCTCTCTTCAACCCAAATGTGATAATGGGCCTTCCATTTGGTATTGTATTATTAAAACTGTTATCGTCTGATCATCTGCCATTTCTCGATGGACTCTGCTTACAATCTCCGGTTCGTCCCCCCCCCCTCCGGCTCCCTACCCCCACCCAGATCTTGGACAATCTGATCAAAGTTGCACGTGCTGGAGGAAATCGCAGACTTAGCGTCCCCGAGCGTGTATCGCGTACCACATCCGAATCGTTGCATATCACTAAGTGAGTTTCTCGATCACACATCTACACCGCTATTCCGTCATATCCGACACCGAAGGGTGACTCATACGTGTCCATCGTTTTGCACAACTACATAGATCGATGACTTACGACGAGCGTCGCCAGGCTCGTCGAGCGGTCCGCGAAGCCCAACAGCAGTTTAATGAGGCGCGGTCGTTGTGGGCCAATGAGCTTTATCGGTTGTCCATTGCCAATCAGGTTAGTCTCCGAATCGGGAATCATCTCCGTGCTCAAGCAGTTTGTCACGCATTACTTGATGACTTGTGATTTTCTAAAGATCAATGTTCCTGCATGTTCCATGTTTCCCCAGTTCCTGGGGTTCTTTTGGATCCGTCCTCTTTCTTTTTCGCTCCAGGACAATCGATCTTGTTGCGCAATTACCAATCTCGGTTTNCCGCCCTACACACACTACACGGCGAACGCAAAATCTAAACCGATTGACGTTATTTTACTAAAGTGCCGTAAGGGAGCATAAAGAATATTCCTGCAACCCCACAAAACGTTGCTGACTCACAGCGGGATTAACTTTCCTACCGAACTGTGGATTTTTGAGTCCGGCATTCTTGCCCTTCCCGATATGTATGCTCGTGACCCCTGGCTTTTAGGGGTCAAAGATGCTCTAATATTTTAGAATTTCTACAGTTGATGTCCGCTGCACACTCCGAGGGTAAAGAGAACCTTTTCGAATGTGATATTCATCACCGCCGTGTATATCTGCTACAGTTATGTTGTTCCGTTCATTGTTTTCGCTTTCTATTATTTTTACATTTACCGGAGCATCAAATTGCAAGTACCCAAACCGTCCTCTCCCACATGTCATAAGAAATGTAGATCAGTAGCATATACCTAGCTCTGTGTGGGTTATTCGTTCTTGAATTATTTCCGAGTTTTATCAACTTGTGTTGATCTGGACTTAGGTAAACACCACATCCAAACTTGCTGCGGTTGGAAATATCCACCATGCCAACTGTGCATACATATGCTAGAGACAAACGCAATCATATTACCCACTAGACTTCCGAGCAACTGATCAGATCGCATTTTTCATTTTTGTCTCCTCAATACTGACATGTAACAAAAGGAGTTACCAGATAGTGCTAGCAGTATTAGGTTTCACTTCAAGATTCACTAGTTTCACATTCGCCCCGTATCGCTTCACGAAAACCACATGCAGGATGTAGTATGATCCGTAGTGAGACTCCGGGGAGCTGCTTAGCGGGAACATGTGGAAAGTGGTATACAGTGTGATACGTGCCACTTTTGAGGTCCCCGGTTGAGTAAATAAAATACATTCAGATATTCCCGGGTGAGTTGAGTCGATGGAATTGCGCCACTGATGAGACCGGGAAAACTGAAGACAACTGTGCACATGAAAAAAAATTTTCGTGATATCTATATCATGCATATTTGCGAGAGCTAATTAAACTTGTCAGATTATGTGATCATATATATCCACAAGAAACCCAGCACCGTGCTCTAGATTGTCTAGCACCTATAGGGTGATCTGCAGTCACTGTAGATGATCGTTCCTGAGGCGGCAAAAAAATGTCGCTGACTACTCTACTAAATAAATTATTACTTAGTCGTGCACCACTTCACTGTTTTTCTTAATCTTCTCGTCTGTTGCTCCATTCGACCTAATTCAGTGTAACGCATCACATTGGGTTGAATCGTTCATAATTACTTGCGCAATAATCCCCCCCTCCCCTACGTCCCATTTCCCATCGTCTCAGTATCGCGGTCGCGTGTTCTGGTTTCCGCACAGCATGGATTTCCGTGGTCGTGTTTATCCGTGTCCACCACATTTTCATCATATGGGTATGTCCTGTTCCGACTCCAGTTTTCCTCCTATCCTGATTGGTCACTTATTGTGTTGGTCATGCTTTGTGTTTGCTTCCTTCTCGACCGAAACTAAATGGTTTTTCTCGGTGAATGCTTGGATTAGCCCATCCGATTGTTCCGATGCACCAAACAGTCTTGATGGTCTTTCGTGTGGGTTTCACTCCTTCGGAGATCGTTGATTGCCCACCAGTTGAGTGCATTTACCTCCGATGGAAATGCTTGTGATAACCGACAAACAGCACTGAACACTTGTTTCGTTCTGCTTGGGACTCGTCATCAGTGCGCAATTTTCGTGTCCCTGTCAGGACCCAAACCGCAAACCTTCGGTCATCATCCAATGCTCTTTGCCGGCTATCAAAAACACTTCCATTGCATTTAAATGCAATCAAGTAGGGAGAAATTAACGATCTACCAAGGAGTGAGGCTCACTCATACACACACCGAAGATCATCAACAGTGCCTGTGATAAACCGCCTGGGCATTCATCGTGCAAATTGCATGAGCCATTCGCGCAAGATGATGGCCGTCGACCGTGTAGCTCAGGGGTGAGGGTTTGAAGTCCCGACCCGAATGTTCGCGGTTCGAGTCGTGACAGGGAAGCAAAAATGTACGCACTGCTGACGAGTCCCAAACAGGACGAAACAGCTGTCCCGGTGCTCTTTGTGTCGGGTATCACAAACACTTCAATCGCATTCGAATGGTTTTTCTGCTTGAGAACAGTCGTGAAGGGGAAAAGTCTTCTGTTTACTAGGATCATGGATCATCTGGTTGTGCACAGATTTTTTCATCATCTCACAGCAATTGTTACGTCAACTGTCTCAGATAGGAGACACAATTGAGATTAGAACCTTTCCGAATTTGAAAGTCTATAAAAACGTGGAAATTTAAATGTGTTTGTTCAAGTCAAGTCAGCTAAGGCTTTATGCACCCGATAGGATACATTTTCAGCACTATTCGACAAGTTACAGTGAGGAAGACGTTAGGCATTGGAAAAAGAAGAAATATACACTTACTAAATGAAAAACAAACGGATTAGGTAAAATCCTAATGTGACAGATGATTGTTCAAGTTAGTAATAATATTTGCTCGGCTCACCCAGATACGAGCAAAATAAGGGACCATGCTGTTTTTGTATGTGGTGGTGCATGCACAAAGAATCGGAAATCGGGAACGGGTACTCGGATGAGACACCGATTTTTTGAGATGGGAGTGCAGACAGTGTTCTTCGTTGGACAGGATATGGCTGATAAAGTGATCGCATGAATCAAAACGCTTGCTCACAATAAAGCCAACCAAAACGGTCTTTGAAATACCGCTGCAACGAGAAAGAAGTTTAAGAGATCTGGAAAAGAAAATAGTTTTTCTCCTTCAGACCAGGTAAATATACGGGGGAACAGTACATCCAATTTTTATTATTACATCTAGGAGTGTCGTTTCTGAATCACGTTGGCAAAGTAGGACATGCATATTTGGGTTGGTGCAGTATTTGACTTTCGGCAATCATATCTTCCTCAGTTCGGCGGCATTAGGTTGGGTAGAGTTGAAGTTGTTGGAACCTTTCATTGTGGTACTTGGAACATTTATGTTCCCATTTTCTTAGGAAATCCGGGGTGTTTTGTCACGGTCAGACCATGGATTTCGAGGGTCACTGGTGTACTTGGTGTTGCGGTCAAAAATATACTGATGAAAAACAGAGAAACAGTTATGTTTCAAACGGTTAAGCAACAAAAAAATCACGTTTGAGTAACGCAACTTGCCTCGGAACAATTGACGCAACTTCAACACACTTTGTGAAGTCCTTCTGAACATGAAGTCCCAAATCCTCGCCTGTACCACGTGGTAATGGTTGATTTTCGAGAGCGAACAGAAAGTAGCCCCTGTGACGCAGCGATCTTGCTACATTGGATTCGATGTCATTGATGAGAGATCGTCGGTGAGCTGTGTCCGGTACTTCCCATTGTATGAAATCATCTTGAGGATGTTTTCCTACTCTCCACGTCGTCATCAATTAGTTAAGCTTGTGTCTCATGTGTATTCGGTAGGTATTTTATAAGTGTTAGTGAATGTTACGGACCAGGTAGGAGGGATTCTTGTGGAACCCCACGGACTGCGTCAATCAGAAGTTCCTCGATCCAGTCAAGAGACAATCCTCGAGCACCATATAGATAGACCTCGGGTGGTTTAGTCGACCAAAAGGCTTCGATCTTCCGTGCGTCGTTAATTTTTGTTCCCTTATCTCATGCAGACTGGTGGCGCATGATCGTTTTCGTTGAAACGCACTTTAAGCTAGAGACGGAATTTTCCCGATATTCTGTGAGAAAACCAGCAATAATTAACTTCAGTATTTTGGACAGAATTAGAGGAAGAATAGCGAGATGGTAGTTCGCTAGGTCACTCATCCAGCCATCTTTGTTAATGAGTAAGATGACGTCGTGTTTCGCATTAGGGCTGAACGACCGTCCGCTCATCAGAATCTACCCTGTGTTAAACGGCTGGTGAACAAAAAGCCAAGCAATTGATCACTATTTTACATGTGCAAAATTAAGCATATTAATAATACGGTTCTCTTTTCAAATTTCTCAATGAGACCAAAATAATTTCTCGTTCTGGCTATACCTCATATACCCAATTGTGACTGTCAGGTGATTAAACTTTCTTTCATCATGCTACCTCGGTGCAGAGCACATTCCTCCGAATTGCCTGGGTGAAAAACACCTCCGACTTGATTCTGTTTAGAAGATTTTGGCGGAGGTTGTTTATGCTCAAACCTGAACGGACATGGCTTTTCCCTCTCACGCCGCCGTCACCGCCTCATGCGCTCACATCAACGACACGTTACATCGGTCGGAATCCAGCGCTTGACTTCAGTCAGTGCTATTTGGCATAAAGCTCAGTGGAACCTAACGATGCACGTAGCCCTGGATAGAGGCCGGGTGACTGCATGCACCCTGGATGATCTCCAAAGAGGATGAACCATTTGCACAGAGTTTCGAAGATTTTCTGGTGGCTCCATTGCGGTGCTGCACAACGAATTCGATTACCAACTTATGACCATCAGAATCATGGACTACTGTGCACTGCGGTTGCTCAATCGTTTCTCATTCTCTTGTCACTCTCACAAGTGAACTCGAGGAAGTAAATTTCCTCTATCACTCGTGATTTATGGCAACCCAACACGAGACTCTGATTACTGGCTTCTACTCTTTGTAATACTCTCGGTGTGACGTCCATTCCATCCATGTGGTGATGGTACTTCTGCTGTACTCTCGGGTTAGCTGGGCAAGCGCCTAGTCCCTTCTTGCGACTGAACCATCGACCGATCAATAAATGAACCCGATTAGTCATGTGATTTTTGGCCCAACATAGGAGCAGGAGGAGGAGGAGGAGGATAAGTTCTGAATCTGATGCTGTGATGATGGAGAATCGGTTGTCGAACGATGTGCCATGTGAGATAATTGAAAATTCCATTGCGATCGATTATGACACTGGACCGATGCTTGGCTTGTCTAAAATACACGCATTATTTTTGCCAAACGGGTAAGAATAATGAAATTCCGAACTAAAGGTACAATATGCATTAATACAGGGCCACGCAAAACTCTTCTTGGTATTTTCCCAACCGGTTGTTTTCGCATAGAACGATATAACCATCAATTTTTACAGTTTTCACTGCGTTTTATGCGTGAAATATCGCCAGGCATTTTATAATTCTGAACGCCGACTGGTTTTGATTAGTCACTGATATGGCGCTTTTACTGTTTAGAAGTTTTAGGTGTTTTTTCTTGTGGCATTTTTTCTCGCACGGTTACCGGTCCCTTTTTGTTCCATTTTCGGTTCTTGTTAACTTCTGTTGGTAAAATGGTACCCAAACGGGACCAATGTGGTATCAGTCAGTGTCAGAAGCAGGTGCAAAGTGGCATCCAGTGCGACAGGTGTATGGCATGGTACCACCAAAGATGTGGCAATTGTTCAAGCAGGACTATATTCATCTCTGAAATGGATATGTAGTCATTGTGTTTCTTTGGAGGAGGAGTGCTCTCGCATATTAAGCGGAGCAGGAGCGGTTCCTGCTCCTATGTTGGGCCAAAAATCACATGACCAATCGGGTTCCTTTATTGATCGGTCGATGGTTCAGTCGCAAGAAGGGACTTGATGCTTTCCCAACTAACCTGAGGGAGAAATCCCAGGTTGTTTACAGGCGCAAGCCTTAGACAGGCCCAGTGAACTTCGACTGTACAGCAGGAGTGTCATCACCACATGGATGGAATATACGTCACATTAAGAGTATTACAAAAAGTACAAGTCAGTTATCAGAGCGTCGCGTGTTGGGCAGAGCGATTCCAATGCCGGGGATCGCGTTAAGTAAGTGATTCAATCAGATCGCAGAGTCGTTCCGAGGGAATTTATTTGTTGGAGTTCCCGTTTGAGGAACAAAACAGTCCGAAGCGATGGTGCATTTGCTCATTTTAAGTAGAATGGGTGTATGGGATTCACATGTCACTCAACAGCTGCTTGGAAACGGAACAATGCTGTGGACTATTTGAGCATCTGATCGTTAACCTCAGTGAGCTGGGTTGCTATCGCTACGTTAGGCCACTGACTATTATCGTGATTCAACGGATAAACAGATAAGCACTGTGGGATAAAATCGTGATGAGTCAAATAAACAGAAATGAACATGACGTTTTTTGATACTGTTTATATTTGCTGATTGTGCGATCAGTTTCTTGTGAGCTATTTAGAAGTGTTCTTCTTGTTGTTACTGTGTTTCTTACCGTGTTTCTTTCTTCAACAGAGTAAGTTATGTTCCGTCCCGTCTTTCTCTATGTTCTGTCTCTCCCGATCTCCTATCCAGGCAGTGACATCGCTCGTGGCCTGATCGTGTTTGCCAAAGGATTACCTCTCGGACCCAATGGATTGAATTGGCTGAAGATTCATCTGGTCAACTTGACTGGATTGAAGAAAAGGTACCTTTATCACTTTGGTTATACAATCACTGTGTCGCCGACTTCTCCATCCTTTTGAAACACCTTGCATGCCATATATCCCAACGGAGTTTTTTGCATGTGATACCGCAACTGACGGTAAGGTGCGACGAGTTTGAGATTCATTCATCCGTGGCTTGTCATTCATCAAAAGTGTTATAAAACAACGAGTTTTAGGTGATTCAATATTGGTTTTTGTATTTGTTGCGCTCGAAGTTGTGCAACGATGGTGGTAAAACATCGGGAGGTATTCGGTTAATTCAAACTAGAATGAGCACTTCTATGACACTTCTATGCCCGTTTTTCGCCGTAGACTCGCACGAATGAATCCGCTCGTAGTCCCTCTCCCTTTACCCAGAGTGAACTATTTCATTCCAAACAGCTGTTTGGATCTTCGACTAGGCTCTCTATTTTGGTTCAGATTGCACGTGTTTTTTTTTTTTTCACTGAAACTCGGAGTGCTTTTTCTAAGAGAAAGTTTCTGTCGTGCTTTCAACAATGATGCTTTTCCCATTGCATTTCATTTTGCACCAAAAGATTTGTTTCAGTTCGAATCACGAATTTTCCTGTCCTCATTCAAATTCCAGGTGCCCGAATAGCGAACGCCTCGAATTCGCTAATTCTATTCTGGACGAAATCATCGATTCGGCTGTCAATCCATTCGAGGTAATTTTGTTATCATCAAAGTCTGAGGAACTGATTCCAGCGTGATAAAGCCCCAGATTCAGTGCTGCTATGTTCCTGTTTCGACTTTCAACCTTTTATGCTGGAATTGAATTTTAAATCAAACATCGTTGTGCTCTCCGGAACACCTCAGTCACGAATGCGGGTACCCGTTCCTTGTATCTTTCCTTCTCAAATCACCGCTTGCCGAACAGAAGAAGAACGGTTCATTTTTTTTACTCACGACGAAACGCAGTATCAACATCACGCGGCCCAAATAGGATAGACGGGGTTTTGATCCGACCAACAATGAGACTGCCTGCCACGAAAGTTAGATGGTGGGGGCAATGAGTGAGTCAGCGTCAGATCTCTGGGCCCAAAGCTCACCAGTGAGATTGACTTAAACTGTTTAACCTACAAGAAGAAGAATCAACACCAATCTCTGAAATTGCTTGTTTTCATCCGAAGGGTTGATTAGTTTGCGCCAACTGGGAACTGATATATCTCTATACGGTTTTGCTTGTTTGATTACGAACATCAGGTTTTCGTTACCAAGTGTAGGGTTTGTTCATATGATGCACATAAATATTTTTTACACACTTTTAGTGTGATGAACAGCAGACGTGGCGGACCCCATAGTTTCCTGCTGTTAGGTTGTCAATCATTGTGGTGCTTCGCCCCATTGCATCTGTTGCACGAATACAGCACAGCCACGAAGTTTGGGCGAATTTGTTTGTTTTGTCCCCCAATGGAATTATTGGTCTTGCATGCCTGGCACCAGAAATGATTTTGTGTAGTGCCCTAAATGCACTAGATTCTCTGGGCTCCCTCGAACACCGTGCAACAGACATTGTTAGGTCATGGATAAATCCAATCGATCAGAAGCCGACACATTATTTCTTTCTCGTTTGTGTGAAGATCTCGTACCCCACGCACACTGTCAGCACCCGAACATCAATCGGTTTTTTTAATTTTTCCGCCCGCCTTAGGGCCCGGCAAATAATTGTAATCAATGATCTAAGGACACTGCGATAAATAAATGTTCATTCTGTCGTTAGAACTTAAGCGAACCCATTAGTTCCTTTTTACCTTCCGGTGCACGCACTGAGCGGTGTGTACGATGGGAGTGTCGCATGCGTCTACTTGAACTACTGCCAATCAAAAGTGAATCATGTATCGCTATCTTAAATGGTTTGAGTATGCTTCCGTCGCGATCGCACTTGATTGCGTCTAATCGAATCTTTAACACCGTGCGTATCAATTCGCTTTTCTGATTCGCTATCCGGTTCGATCGAATTGGCTCATATGGTTCTAGAGGGCCCCGTGATTGGTCCCCGTCCATGCTTCGCATTCACAAACGATTTATCGATTGTTTCAGGAACACAGACAATAATGCTTGCAGATGGCACCAATTTCTTGCATACACTGACAACCTGAGAGCTGACTTCACGAGTCAGTAGTGAAAATATATCATAGAATGAGAGAACAATCAGCCTACTAATGACTCCCATAATGAAACTGATTTTAACTAGGATTCGTGGCTTGGTTTATTGCTTACATCTATAAATCGCAAAAGACTGTTTTGCATCCCCCAACCCCCAGTGTTATCCAGTTATTTATGTAGCCTCTGCTCAAACGGTTCTTTCTTCGCCCGCTCTTCCTTACTCTCTCACTCTCACTCTTTAGGGCCGCAGATGGTGGCAAGAACAGGAAGAACCTTGGCAAACATTAGCCTGTTGTCGGGAAATTTTCGCCGCATTAAATCACGAAGGTGGTCCAGAGTCGTTTGTTTCTCATTTCCCAGTACATCAAGATGGTTCCTGCAATGGATTGCAACATTATGCCGCACTTGGTCGCGATCAGCGTGGTGCGGAATCGGTCAATTTGACAAACAAAAATTGTCCTCAGGATGTGTATAGTGATGTGGTGGAAGTGGTGAGTGAATGCACATCAAACAGAGCATGAAGTGAAAGGGATTTCGATTCACGTATATCTTTCCTTGGCGAGTCAAACAAATCTCTCCGCAATTTGTAGCCGAACGATAGCAACCAAAACCGGCGCACGATAGTGCATGGTTAATGGTTGTGCAAACTGAACTGAACTGAAACTTTACCTAATCAGTGGGCCATAACTGAGAACCGCATTTGTTTTGCAATGTATTGTTCATATGGGGGGAGACTGTAGCGGATCGCTTGTGAATAAAGATCGTTCATAGATCATTCCTGATTGGCGTCGAGGTATTCATTAAATGAAGCTGGTTGTTATGTGGTCGGGTAGTGCGATCAACCAATAGGTTCATTGCGAAATGGGTATTTTCATATCGAGAAATCCGCATTATCTTTAAATTATGATAGTTGAGCTTCATTACTCTGCTGAATGCAGNCACTCCCCTGGGAATCGATAACAACTCGTTGCATCCATTGTATGCAGCGAGATGTGTTGTAATCTATACCACATTCTGTGCACAGCTACCCGATCCCTAGTGACAAAGTAGTTCGACTTTGTGTATGGTCGATAAATTTCTCATAGCGATTCACCGGAACTTCTCTCAGTAGATCTGTTCTTAGATCATTAGTGCTTGTTAATTTTCTTGATCAATAAATCATTGAAAATGGAACCTGTAGTCTCAGAATCATAAACTCCTAGCTTGTTTGTTAGTGTCAGATAGTCCGTTCTGTTGAGCAAAACGATTTCACTACACCGTCCAAGGTGGCTGGGGCACGTTCTACGATTGCCTTCCATATCATGAGCTATTTGCAAGCATTGGTCCCTGTTGAAAGAAAGAACGAAGTGGCAGGCTATGACGTGGCGTAAAGTGTTACGAAGCTTGTGCTCAAATCTGGCTTCCGTTTGGGCTTTCCGACTGAGACCGCGAAAATTCAGATCGTCGCTGACTGGAGACCTTGCGAGATACGGCATCGAACTGAATTCAGTGACGGTAATCCACCCTTTCCTATGCGCAACTCCACAAGTAAAATAAAGAAACAAAAGGGTTAAAATTGTCGGCTGTAAACAAAGTTGTTATCACGCCCCCGAAGTTCATTGTTTTCTGCATTTATTTTTTAACTCACGGTTTTTTTGGCGCGGTACGTGTAAAGATTGGTGTTATGTTTCATTGAATTGTAACCATTAGATTTGCCTCCAGTCGCCATCTTCGCGCACAAACCCAAATTTATCCAGTAAATCGAACAGTCATGAATGTGTCAGTGGCTAAGGAGGGGAGATACGGGACTAACTCTCCGTTAGGACTCATCAGTAGTGCATTTCCTTTAACCCTTCACTACTGAAAACTACAAACCCATCAGGAGGCGCTGCTTTTGCCACTGGGGACCAGAGTCGTTTTCACGAACAGTTGGCTAGTTTAACTGATTCGATAGAACCTGTAAACTCGCGTCGAAAGTGGAATAAGATCATTCCTGCAGGTTTAGGCATAAATTCCGAAGTAATGCTTCCGAGATGTATGGTTCACTGGGTGAATATTGCGCCCGAAAATGAAGTTTGAAGGATAGTCAATTAATAGCACTTATCGCACAGTGCTACTCACAGGTGACTTTGATCGACAATATCAATTGGAATTTCTATCGTGTGACAACTCCCACGATAGTAATGAATCTCCCTCTCTTAGGGTGGCGATGTGCCAGTGGTTTAGTCACTGTCATCGGCGTGCTTCAAACCCTGTGGTCCGAGGTTCAAACCCCGTCACTGCCACTCAACTTTGGTGCCATACAGCTTTACCGTGGGCCATTTCACTACCATGCCTAACATGGTGCCATCATATGTGATTCGTCACTTCCATTCCCATGCTTTGGTTGGTTGGTTTTCATCACCGGATAGTAGGTTTTCGTAACAGTTGAGTNCCGACTTCTGTTCATCGCACAAAAGTGTGTGTAATAAGAAATCCCGTAATCTTCTGTGCTCTGTTGAGTGAACTCATGGACATGCTGTCTTGCATGCACACTTTGAAACAGTTTGTTCACACGATGGTAGACTTCACCAGTCATTCATGCCAGATGACTTCCACACTCCTGTCATCGATTATGTCGCATCGAAGTTACCGTCGAGTTCTCATGCATATACATTGTCATACGGTTCTGCGAAATTGCTCACTTCAATCAGTTGAACCTGCGGCAGCTGTGTCCATCCTGCGTAATCACTAGTTCTACAAATCTCTCGACGCTTCGTTTCGTGCGTACAGGTTGAAGCTCAGCGACGTGAAGACGCAGAAGCAGGTCTCGCGGTCGCGCAAATTCTTCAAAATTTCGTTCGACGCAAAGTGATCAAACAGTCAGTGATGACCACTGTTTACGGTGTCACACTGTACGGTGCCTCTGAACAAATTCGCAAACAATTACGGGACCTGGATGATTTTCCTGGACGCGAGTGGATCGGACCGGCCGGTGCTTATTTGGCTCGGTCTACACTGAACAGCATTGGTTGTATTTTCACCTCGTCTGCCGAAATTCAGGCCTGGTTCGGACAGGCAAGTTGACCGATTTTCCCTCCTGTTTAAACCTGTTATTGTTTGTTCACATACCAAAATATGTTCCCAAGCATATTTGAGTGAGCACATGGTTTTCCATGTTAACCTCATCCTAGGGATTCCAAATGTTTTCTTAGAATATCCCAGAGATTATCTGACGCATTTCAGTCTTCTTAGCCCGATCGAACCAAAAGATTTCTTTTGTTCGTTATGGATAATTCGCCTTACTGGGACTGTTTTATTTGATCATGTGATCTGCAGCGATTTCTCACTCTTCGATCGCCGATTTAGCGTTTCACAACGCCCGGATTACTATAAAAAACCTTTTTATTAAAAAACGTCTTTATGCATATAATTTGTATATCCTCACTCCTAATGTACCTTCCGTTTTTTGTTGTTGTACACATTTCGATAACACACCTAACTTGGCGGGGCCTTATGTGGTCCCCCCCCCGCACCCCCAAGCTCAGGACTTTGAGTTACTTGTTCCCATTGTTGAACATTAGGTCCTCGTAATAAAAAGATGCACACCAAGTTACCGCAATAACGGCTTTTGTGGATATTGAACGGAAGTTGTGGGATTCAATAATATCAGTCCATAAACATTCGTGTATGGCACAGAAACTTGACAGTTGTAAAACTGTATAAAGATAGATTTTCGATTATCGAACCCAGCTGTCTACACAGCATTACATGAGTTTGGTGGGGCGATTGGACAAAGAATGCTGAGGTTAAACTCGGAGTTTCAGGCAGTCGCGGTCCCCCACTAGATTAACTGGTCGATCATCATAGATTGTGTTGATCAGGACATGTGTAACGCATGTCATCAAATAGGTTGTCTTGACGCACGATGTTTGTGCAGTTGATGGAAAAATTATTGTGGTAAAACTATGAAGGTGTGAAAACCTTGACCAGCAGGCTTGCTCATATAGCTCGCTGGGGAGGGAGACCCCGGGATCATTCTAATCAACGGTTAGAGACAGTGTTGTAAACGGTGGCATCCGTGCTTCTCAGTTTATTTGAAACCTGGGCCCTCCAGAATTCTTCATTTTCTCTTTGTTTTCGACATCCCAAGCATACTTCAACTTCTTCATCCGATTAAGCAATCAGAAGTGCTCAGTCAGAACCATCTCACCAAACTGCATGGTTAATGGTTTTCAAAACTAAAACTGAATCGATAATGATCTTAGGTTATCTCTGGGATACATATACAGATAAATTATTTCGAATGTATCATGATTACTTCTTTCACTTTGCTACCGCACTTCGGAGCACTGTAATTTCACCCTATTAGCATTCTTTTATCGTTCACATTCTCACCTGCTTTCGACCAGTGGTATCGCGGTCTGTTGCATCTTGTACAATGGTACAGTTCAATTCATTGCTGGTGTTTTAAGACTGTAACACTCCTAGTGGCACCTGTTCATCCGACTGTGTGTGATAGCAGTGCCATCCTCATTTGAAATTCACTGCTTCATCAAAGATGAAATAGCAGAGGGTTTTTGACTAAGGCCTTCATACAAAGAAGTATAGCAATACTGAAACAAGATGCTGTAATGCTGTAATGCACTCTGGGTTATCGCAGCGTAATGGAGTGGACAGAGATGCATGACAAGATATCCCTCGTATTGTCGCAGCTGGAGACGATACGAGACTTTGTGGGTGACGAATGACTGCGATGAAGTGGCAAGCAAACACTGCCAGACAGATCCTGCGTAGGTCGGGTTTGAAGATAAACCTGCATGGTAAAGCAAATAAAACATCATACAGTAAAAAGGTGCTGCACTCGCGATCAAAATATCAGTGGTGCGGTTGCCAAGCGTTAGACTACTACCTGGTGCAGGGTGCGTCCTACTACGTCTTGTTTTACGTTCTATTTTTACTGCTGTTTCGTCCTCAAAGATGAATCCACCTCCTTGATGTCTCTGTGTGGTTGTCCGGAGGGTCTGTGCAGATAGTGCCATCCAATCCAATTATGGTTCCATAATCAACTCCGTATACCGAGCGTTTGACATTCGTTCTCCCCGTGTTCACGCCACATGTTTATATATATATATATATATATATATATATATATATATATATATATATATATATATATATATATGTATATATATATATATATATATATATATATATGTATATATATATATATATATATATATATATATGTATATATATATATATATATATATATATATATGTATATATATATATATATATATATATATATATGTATATATATATATATATATATATATATATATGTATATATATATATATATATATATATATATATATATNGACAGAACATTTTAAGACACAGTTCAGCTGGTCCCCTTCGAGACCTTCCCCCACCCGGTTCAACTGTGCAAATACTACACGTTGACATCAGTCCTTCATCTGAAATGGAGGTTGCCCGTGAAATAAGTCACTTCAAATGGCATAAGGCTTCCGGCCCCAACGGGCTGTCCCCATCCGTTTTTAAGAATGGAGGCTCAACCTTGATTTTGGAGTTAACAAAACTCCTGGGCTCAGTGTGGGAAAAGGAAGAGGTTCCAACTGAATGGTGTGAATCGGTGATCATACCGATTTACAAGAAAGGTGAAAACCACAAAGGAATTAGTTTGGTCAATATTGCCTCTAAACTTCTCGCCGTTATCATACTCCGTTGATTGTCTACCGCACGTGAACGGTGTACGCGTGAGAACCAGGCTGGTTTTAGACCTGGTCGAGGCTGTATTGACTACATCTTCACACTTCGTCAAATTCTAGAACTTTGTCATAGATATAATTCTTGAAACAGCCCTATCCTCGTGCAGGGATAGCGGTATCGATTAGCTTCCGGGTGGCCGACTGTCTGATCTAGAGTATGCAGACGACATTGTGGTACTAAGTGACGATCCAGGTAAGTTGCAAGCTTTTCTGGATAGTTTGAGTGCTAGTGTGTCCAAGTTCGGCATGCGTTTTGCACCTTCAAAGTGTAAAATGCTACTACAAGATTGGGTTGATCCGGCATCCAGTCTCACCCTAACTGCGGAAGTAGTAGAGGAAGTAGACAAATTTTGCTATCTAGGCAGCTGTTGGTCCAGCACCCAGCCTCACTCTAACTGGGGAAGTAATAGAGCACGTGGATAAGTTTTGTCACTCTAACTGGGGAAGTAATCGAGGAGGTGGATAAGTTTTGTTATTTGGGCAGCTACATCTCACCCGGTGGACGTATCACGGATGAAGTGTCAGCTGTTTTGTTGTTTGGGCAGCTACATCTCACCCGGTGGACGCATCACGAATGAAGTGTCGGCGTGCTATCTAGGCAGCTATATCTCACCCGGCGGACGCATCACAGATGAAGTGTCGGCGCGCGCAGGCTCGGTTGGCATTTGCCAACTTGAGACATTTGTGGCGCCGTCGCGACATCCGGCTGTTTGTGAAGAGTTGAGTATATACTGCAGCAGTTCGACCAGTCCTGCTCTACGGTGCAGAGACTTGGCCACTAAGGGAACAGGATAAAAATAGATTGTCGGTGTTCGAACA